GAAGTAGGATGAAAAGAAGAATAATTTCAAGCCGGCAAAAAGTGTATGTGCAGAGTTCCTCTATTTCTGACAGTTCTCTCACAGCTTCTTCACATGAACAGTGGTTGAAACATCTGTATCCTAAATGTAAACTAATAGATACAATGTTTCAACCGCTAAACATGTGTTCCTTCTGTCAGAGAACTGTCAGAAATAGCGGAGCTCACTGCAGGGACACTTTTGCCGGCTGATCGGGAAATGTTCGATTCGCGCACCCGAAGTAGGCAAAATTTCGGTTTCGCCGCGAATCGAATATTTCCTGAAATTCGACTCGAATTCCGGTTCGCCTGGTTCGATTCGCTCATCTCTAATTATTAGTCACATTTTTAAATAGTCCTAAAGCACTTTCTATTAAAACCTTCCTAACTGCAATACACCTTTCAAATCACAAGCATCATGAACCTTGCTCTAGTAATTAATAACACTATAGTAAAAAGGGTTAATGCAACTATATACATTTTTCAGCATTAGGTAATTTTGTTACCCACATGTCCAAAAAATAAATTCATTATGTATTGCAAGGTATGCCTTACCTTTCGATTGACATCCAGGTATAGTTTAAAAAAAACTTGTCTGGATAAGCACAAAGATCTTGGTACAGAGTCCAAAATTGTCCCTTGCTTTTTGTTTCAGTCAGGAGTCAATGGCAATAGCCAGCATGACAAATATGACTGTAAGAGCAGACATCCTGAATGCACAGACTAGACCCTCCACAGGGATTCTATACACCAAAAAAGTGAGCAGCAACTGAACAAGGACTCCTATTAAAAATTGTAAGAAAAAAAAAACAAGTTACTATACAGGTGAAACTTTATTTCAGTAATGCAACTTTAAAGGTGAAAGTGATATATGAGATAGACTCATTACATGCAAAGCAAGATAGTTCAAGCCGTGATTTGTCATAATTGTGATGATTATGGCTTACAGCTCATGAAAGCCCCAAATCCACAATCTCAGAAAATCAGAATATTACATGCAATCAATAAAACAAGGATTGTACATAGAACAATATTGGACCTCTGAAAAGTATAAGCATGCATATGTACTCAGTACCTGGTTTGGGACCCTTTTGCAGCAATTGTGCCAGTGGCACTGTTGAGGTGTTATGGAAGACCAGGATGCTTCAATAACGGCCTTCAGCTCTTCTGCATTGTTCAGTCTCATGTCTCTCGTGTTTCTCTTGGCAATGCCCCATAGATTCTCTATGGGGTTCAGGTCAGGCGAGTTTGCTGGCCAATCATGCACAGTAATCCCATGGTCATTGAACCAGGTTTTGGCGCTTTTGGCAGTGTGGGCAGGTGCCAAGTCCTGCTGGAAAATGAAGTCAGCATCCCCTTGAAGCTCGTCTGCAGAAGGAAGCATGAATTGCTCCAAAATCTCCTGGTAGACGGCTGCGTTGACCCTGGACTTAATGAAGCACAGTGGACCAACACCAGCAGATGACATGGCTCCCCAAATTAACAAAGACTGTGGAAACTTCACACTGGACTTCAAGCATCTTGCAGTGTGTGCCTCTCCATTCTTCCTCCATACTCTAGGTCCTTGGTTTCCAAATGAGATGCAAAAGTTGCTCTCATTAGAAAAGAGGACTTTGGACCACTGAGCAACAGACCAGGTCTGTTTTTCTTTAGCCCAGGTAAAATGCTTCTGATGTTGTTTGTTGTTCAGGAGCGTCTTGACAAGAGGAATACGACATTTGAAGTCCATGTCCAGGATCCGTCTGTGTGTTGTGGCTCTTGATGCACTGACTCCAGCCTCAGTCCACTCCTTGTGAAAGTCCCCAACACTTTTGAATGGCCTTTCCTGACAATCCTCTCTAGGCTGCGGTCATCCCTGCTGCTTGTGCACCTTTTTCTTCCACACTTTTCCCTTCCACATAACTTTCTATTAATGTGCTTTGATACAGCACTTTGGGAACATCCAACTTCTTTTGCAATTACCTTTTGAGGCTTTCCCTCCTTATGGAGGGTGTCAATGATGGTTTTCTGCACAACTGTCAGGTCAGCAGTCTTTCCCATGATTGTGATTCCTACTGAACCAGACTGAGAAAGCATTTAAAGGCTTAGGAACCCTTTGCAGGTATTATGGCCTAATTAGCTGATTACAGTGGGACACATTGAGCCTAGAATATTGCACCTTTTCACAATATTCTAATTTTCTGAGATTGTGGATTTGGGGTTTTCATGAGCTGTAAGCCATAACCATCACAATTATGACAAATCACGGCATGAACTATCTTGCTTTGCATGTAATGAGTCTATCTAATATATTAGTTTCACCTTTTAAGTTGCATTACTGAAATAAATGAACTTTTGCACGATATTCTAATTTTTGGAGTTTCACCTGTACATTTCTTTTTGCTGTTATAGACTATATAACATCTTCTATAGGGAAACACATAATCCATCTTGGTTTTTTCCCCTTAACTTATGTGTCTAGTAAAAGGACACACACTATTATGGTCTTTATAATCCTATAATTTATTTATTTGATGTTTGGCTGTATTTCTAAGATGTCATACTATATATAGCATCATACACAAATAACATTTCATTATGACAACGTCTGTGATGGGGCACTAGTGGTCCTTGCACGTCATTTGATGGCCTCAGCTATGGAAGAAATTTGCCTTCTAAACACAGTGAAGCATTTTCTTTTAACTATTTATGGTGGTTATGTAAGTTATGTATTCCGTATGGCTAATTTATTGTTGTTTACCTGTAAGGATGTGAATCAATTCTTGATTCATTTATAACAATTATTGTTATAGAGTGGTATCCTTTCCCTGAAGAAGAATTTGTACTAATGTATTTGAAAAGCGTTGGAACCCAGGCTGAATATATATCTGCAGTCAAACTTGAGGTTACAAGATGGAAATCAGCTTTTGAGGGATACCACTGGATACATACTGCATAAACCACACATTTGTGTAGTAAATAATTTGTTATAAACCATTGCTTCTGATATTGCTGAGGTATGCACTACCTATCTAATATACTTCAATGTGTCAAAACAAGAACAATTTTTTGCTAAAATAAAATGTTGATCTTTTTAACAAGTGATTTCTTTGTATATGTTTCAAGGTTGCCTTAAAAATCCCACAAAAATTTAAGGTAAAAATTATCTTTGTAATTGCGTAATTAATTAACCCAGTAACAATCTCTCTCAGGCTGCTGGCACATAGATTATGGTTCCGCAACCTGGAAAATCTCTGTGCAGGTTGCAGCTGAGGGTGGCATTGTCAAGTGACAACACGAGATTGGCTGGTCCTTTCTCATGAGCTAGTGAGTTGGGCAGGGGTCAGGCACTGCAGTCATCATACTATGTATGTATGGAAACGCATGCCAATGCAGGGAAAAAATACATTCCAATAAGTCCTTAAAGTCAATTGACATTTCAAATAGGTTTGAATGTGACTGGTGGCTGTGTAAAAATAAAGGCAGTTTTTAAAACAAACATTTCAGTACATAAGGGCCTGGTGGGTTGATTTTACTAGTGGTTAACATGTTTAATGACTATACCCAAAAATACATTATAAATGACAACTTCTTTACTTAAAAACATGCTAATGGCTTTAAGTAGTAAAGAAAAGGAAGGATGTCTTGCATAATTTTTATGACTTTTGGCCCCATTTACTTAGTCTATTTCCTGTATTTTTTTGCATCATTTATTATGCGGGGCATGTGAACTAATGTGCAAGGCAGTTTTACCCTTTAATAAAATATTTAATGCATTAAGCTTCATCTTTATAGAAGTAAACTGTAATAATAATTTTTCTCTTAGTGCATTAACTACTTCTTATCACTGCTCTATAATGGATCATAGTTGAAATTTTAAAGATTGTTATTAAAGCAGCGTAACAGTATAGTATTGTCCTAATCAAGATATTTTACAGTACTACGGTAACTGGTTATACTGAAAAATTGACAGCAGTAAAATTTTGTTTCAAACAGGCCAGGCATGAAAACCTGCATGACAAGAAAGTTGGGTAATGTTCAATGGTCTGTATGATATTCTGTAGTTATGAACCTTAAAATGAATATTTCATTAAAATGCTAGGTCCACTTATCTTGTTAACCCCTACCACCTATATAAAAGGCACAGCAGTGAGAGCCAATAGCACTTGCTGTTATCAATCTACCCAGGGAGGAGGGAGACAGCGGCAAGAGCCACTGCTCTAGTGCACAACACTGGATCAGATCGGGCTCAGGTAAGAACAAGGGGAGACTGGGGGAGGGATTGTGCAGTACAGAAGGTTTTTCACTTTAATGCGTAGAATGCATTAATGTGAAAAACCTTAAGGCTTTAGAACCACTTATTAATATTATTATACAGGACCAGGGGCCATTTGGAAACTCGGGCACTGCCCGAGGGCCCGGGGTCAGTAGGGGGCCCCATGAGATGCCCCTGGTACCTTTTTCATAGGCTTTTTTTAGTTTGGACAAGGACATAGGGACCCCATGATCCCCTATTGCCGGGGGCCCCATGAATTGTCAGTCCGCCCCTGTACAGGACTTATATAGTGCCAGTTTGCACAGCTCTTTAAAATATAAAGAGAGATAGTACAGCTACAATATACTCAAAGCAAAAGGATTAAGAAGGCCCTACTTATAAGAGGTTACAATCTAATAGGGTGGGGCAAGTGGTACTCCCCAGAGATTAGAAGGAGGGTGAGGAAAGTAAGATGGGATTGGGATGTATATGAGCGCACGTATTTAACTGCCCTGGTGTTTGTGTCAGCATGTGTATTCAGTATTTAAAAGAGGTGATGGGTGAAGTAAAAAATATAGAGCGTAGGAATGAGGGTGATATGTATAAACTATGGGGTGGAGATGAGGGGTAAAGTAAGGACAATTTGAGGACAGAAAACACTAATCTGTGAAGGAAGAGTAGAGGGAACATATTAGTGAGAATCAGACATCATATGAAAGGAAATTGTAAATTTTGATTTGTTTGATGTCCTTCCAGAGTGGAGCAGTTTTTGTTGCATCTTCATGCAGCTTTCTTTATCCTGCTTTTGTTAAACGTCTGCGGTAAAACTGCTACAGCACTCATTAACCACCTCCTGCCCACCATATAGTAATATGACGGATGCAAGATGGTTCTCTCGTTCTGGGAGGACGTCATATGATGTCCTCCCATTCTAACAGCGCATGTGCGGTTCCCGGAGCGCGCACCGCGGCAATCGGCAGTGCGCTGTATCTCTCGGACACAGCGGATCACCCATCCACGGAAAGAGCCGAAGATGTCGGCTCGGTCATGTGATCAGCTGTGTCCAATCACAGCTGATCACATGTAAACAGGGAAATGCCGGTTATCAGTATTTCTCTCCTGACAGCTCGAGAGGAGAGAAGAGCCGGTAATCGGCATTCCTCGGAGGGGACATGTACACAGATCATCAGAGCACTGATGATCTGTGTGCCCTGATGATCTGTGTAGACCCAGCAGCGCCACCTGTCAGTGTCCATCAGTGCCAGCTCTCAGTGTTCATCCATGCCACCTGCCAGTGCCCATCAGTGCCACATCAGTGCCACATCAATGCCACATATCAGTGCCCATCTGAGCTGCCTTTCAGTGTCACCCATCAGTGCCAGTCAGTGCCACCTATCAATGTCAGTCAGTGCCACCTATCAGTGCTGCCAATCAGTGCCACCTTTTAGTGCCGCCTATCAGTGCCAAATATGAGTGCTGCCTTTCAGTGCCCATCAATGATGCCTGTCAATGCCCATCAGTGCCACCTACCAGTGCCTCCTCATCAGTGCCACCTATCAGTGTCCATCAGCACAGCCTATCAGTGCCCATCACTGCAGCCTCATTAGCGCACATCAGTGAAGGAGAAAAATCACTTATTTACAAAATTTTATAACATAAAACTAAGAAAAAACATTTTTTTTCAAAATGTTCAGTGGTTTCTGGTTTGTTCAAGAAAAAAATAAAAAACCCAGAGGTGATTAAATACCACCAAAATACAGCTCTATCTATCACAAAAAGATTATAATAATTTCATATGGGTACAGTGTTGCATGATTGCGCAATTGTCATTCAAATTGCAACAGCGCTGAAAACTGGAAATTGGCATGGGCAAAAGGGGGTATAAGTGCACTGTAAGCTAGTGGTTAAAGAAACACTGAGGAAAGAAACATGTTGCCCACAACTAACCCCTGTCTGCCACTTCCATATACAGTACGCTAAACAAAATTTATAGGGAGATGGGGCTGGCAAACATTTGTCAATTGATGAAATTAGGATCTGATTACAGACACTTGAATGGGAGGAGGAGGGAGGAAAAAAAAAACAGACCAGCCACAGACACAGGCCAAAGTCATAAAAGGTGATTGTTTCTTTCATTACTAAGGCAAAAAGGAGGTAAGAACCAAATCACCAAGTACATAGACAAGTTTAAAGGATATTGCATGCAGACATTTACCATATAGCATCCAAAGTCAAATACCAGTCATACATGGTATGGAGATGGTACTGATGGATAAGTACAGATGAATATTGCACGCAGACATTTACTGTTCTGTCTCTCCAATCTAAGCATTGATAGTGTGATCTCTGTAACTTACAGTTGTGATGAGATAGCAATAACTTCAACCTCAGTTGGATACCACAGTCAGTGACTCAATCGAAATGATATCTTGTAGATCTTGTGAAATTTATTCCATAAACTGAGAGAATCTTACAACAATGAACATTCGATAGGTCAAAAGATCATAATGTGCCCTGCTTTATGACATGAGGCTAGAGCTGCAATGCATTACTGGGAAGGGGGTTGGGCTATCTATACAGCATTAACTAAACCAAAGGAAAAGGAGGAGCAGAAACAAAATATAGAAACACTTAAAGGCATATGACAGTCAATATGACAGTCATGTGAAACATGACATTTACCATATAGCATTGCAGTGTCAAATACCAGTCATACATGGTATGGAGATGGTACTGATGGATAAGTACAGATCAATATTGCATGCAGACATTTATCATATAGCATCGCAGTGTCAAATACCAGTCATATATGGTATGGAGATGTTACAGATGGATAAGTACAGATCAATATTGCACGCAGACATTTACCATATAGCATAGCAGTGTCAATTAGCAGTCATACAAGGCATGGAGATGGTACAGATGGATATTGTACGCAGACATTTTGTTGTGAAAGAGCAGAGAAGACATGATGATGAGAAAGTGATAGAAGCGGCTGTAAAACTGCGACAACACTTGCTAAAGAAACACTCCATAAAGAACCATGCTGTCCGTGACATTGTCATCAAATAAGGATTGTGATCAATTACTTTCCTGAGAAAGTCCATCCAAGAAACAATCTGAGAGCTACAGAGATATATATATATATATATATATATATATATATATAATATGTAATTATTTGCAATCTAAAATTAAATATATCAGTAATCCCCTGGAATATAGGGCTAAGTATAAAGAGTGCTTGGAGGTGATGGATAGGATACATATGACTGAGGCAATATAGTAATTATTTCAGGATGCACATACAGTATATAAAACATTTTATATTGTATTATTTATTATAAAATTGGTGGTTGTAGAGCAGGGATGGACTGACAACTTATGGGGCCCCTGGGCAATAGGGGATCATGGGGCCCCTGTGTCCTCGCCCACACTCAAACCACACCCAAAGAAGCCTATGAAAGGTACCAGGGGCATCTCATGGAGTCCCTTACTGACCACGGACCCTGGGGCAGTTCCTGAGTTCCCAAATGGTCAGTCCGCCCCTGTTGTAGAGTTTGCGTACTTCAAAAGTGTGCTATCCTTGTTTCTTTCTTTGATGTGAATAGTCCTTTTCCTTGCAAGAGCAGGCAGGTCTCTCTGGACTCAGTAGTCTGTCTTCAGTTTACAAGACAGAGCCAAGAAATGTACAGGGTTTCAGATCTTATGCCCCTCTTCTCTGTATGTGCGATCGCTGCCCCCTCAGCTCAGTGTGCACTGTCTGTCTCTGGTCATTCTGCCTGTCAGTCTCACATAACCTCTTCAAGTCCAGACATTTTCACCCCCCTCCAGTCTGCTGGGGTTTTTTATGCTTTGCTATGCAAATGAAAAAAACTAGTTTTTCTTATAAAATTTTGCAAATAAATAATTTTTCTTCGTAAATGTAGGCCAACATGCTTTTTGCTATCTTGTTTGGTAGAAAATAACCCAAATCAATATAAAGAAAACAATTATAATTTTGTTCTAAATTTTTTTATTTTAACTTTTTTTTTTTTTTTTTTTACATTATTTATTTTTTTATTTATTCACATAGCGAATCCTGTGCATTTCCCACACCGCATTGCAAATGCACTGTGCTTTGCAATCTGCTGCAGGTATCAATTGAAATTTACCGACACCCGAAAAGCCGGTTGCCAAGGCTGTGAGTTTGCCTGAACTGGGTCGCATAGGTATACTCAATTATGCAATCCAGTTCTAGTGCAGCTACAAAAAAGGTGCTTGCACCCGTTTGGTGAGGACGCAATGCAATTTAAGCCCTTAAATGAATGGGCTCAAGTCACATCTCACATAATCACATGTGATTTGTACATGGATGCGGTGCAATGCTTGTGCAATTCACATGTGGTTCACATTGTGATCCTAACTTAATATTGTTGATTGAATGCTATGAATCACTACAGGGGACTGTATCCACTAGAGAAAATGAGGTTTAATTTACTAAAGGCAAATAAGCTGTTCATTTTGAAGGGAATTTTTGCTTTGCAATAGGAATTTTAGATAATAAATGCCACATGTTATATCCCAAAATCTTCACCATTTTGGCTCCCTGTTAATTATTTTGAGAAGGAAATACAGACTAATCGTGGCTTTTCAAATATGACAGACATATTTTGGACACATTAGTATTGATTTATTAATGGAAAAAGGATGTTCACTTTGCAATGTAATGTTTCCTTAGCTTGAATGAGGTGAAGCTCTGCTGACTTCCATTATCCAATCACGTGCAAGCTAAAAAGCTAATTTTAGATTCTAAAATAACCTTAGCAAAAAAAGAAAACTGGCAGGTACTTTAATCTATACCTAAATGTCGCTACATGAGAGCAACACGACATAAGAGTAATTTCCTCAAATGATTGTTCCTACCATTGTATTGTAAAGGTATTTTGTCCAATAAACGCCTTTTATTGGGATCTGTTGTCATTTTTCCTCTGCATTGTATGGTGAGATTCAGATTCCGAGTGCTACAATTGTAGAAAAGACACTTGTGGTGGATCTATTCATTAGATTAGGTTTGTAGTATAATGGGTGACTTGTATTTTACTTGTATTAGGTTTAAAAATGAATGTATAACTTTAACCTACTGAATATTTTGCCATAAATATCTTTTCCTAAAAGCTAGAGTTCTGTAATATTCTGAATGGTTGTACTTAAACTCTAAATACAAAAAATGAGAACAAAAGTAATGCACTTCCAACTATCCAGAACATCTTAACCCACAATGTAAATCAATAAGCATCTTCATTCACTGCA